GTGGAGAACAAGGAGATAAATGTCGTGGCCTCTTTACCGGTCGCCTATCATGAGGTGATGGTGGAGAAGAGGCTCGATGATGTGACGGGATAGGTGATGGCTCTCGTTCTAGAGGTGTATAGTCGGGTCGATCGGGTGATGGCTCTGGGTGAGGTGATGGCTCTCGAATTGGAGGAAGTGGATGCTGCTCATCATCCGTGCCGTCAAAAAAACTCTGACTAGCTTGCCACCAATCAGTGGCAAGCTCTTCCTCTGTGGGTGTTAGTCTTTGTAATGGAATGTTGGCCTCCTAACAATATAAAAACTCAAACAAAGTTAAACGTCTACTATTAATAACTTGTTTATATATTATATGAAAGTATTTGTGTTAACTTACATTATTTATTGTCGCATATGGTATTAAGTCTTCCCAATCCAACAGATTTTTCCTCTTCCAGGAAATAGCCCTGGGAATATCATTTGACGTTTTTATTGCATATGTACGCATGCTGGGGAAAGCCTCGAATATCCAAATCTACAAACAATATAATAACAAAATTAGTAATTGTTAAATAATTAATTATAATTTTAGAAACATTATATAGAAATTCTTACCTTAAAGGCCCAAACAAAGCCTGACAAAGTGTATTTCGACCCATCGCCACGCAAACTTTTGCGGTCATCAAAGGCAGTAGACAACTTAGTCCAGGTAGCTTTCCATATATACGAACCCCATGGAAACAGATTCCATGCATTCAGGTCCTCTACCAATATTATTAGCTCCCGAGGAATAGGTTGTCTGGCCTCTCTGCCTAAAAAGCCGGCATACACAAGTAGTAGAAGGCATACTCGGACAACATCGACGTCATCCATCCGAGTGAAACCAGCTTTCTTATTAAATAATTTTTTCAGGTCGTCGACGTGTAGGTTCGGCTTCTCCATTGACTCATCCGGAAAAACCCGGGATAACCATGATGGGCGGGCGATATGACGAGTGTACCGGCCTACATCATCGTGTCCGAATCGTAGACCAGTGATTAAGCAGAACTCCTTCCGCCCAAAACAAGTATACGCTGGTGGAAAATGAAACCATATCTCTTCCTCACCACGTTGTATACTGTCGGGTAGATTTGATGTCATGGTCTGAAGCCACAAATGGGTCAAATTAGCATCTCCACCCGGATGCTGTACTCTCAGCCATGGCCCGAAGCAGGTTTCCTCAAACAATTGTCTTTGTGCAGGTGAAAGCTTCGAAGCAATTGTAGTGGCTAGGCTAACTTTATTCCTTAATGTCAATGAAGCCGAAAAAAATTTCTACAAAAACAATAAACATACCAAGTTAGATATACCAAAAACTACACTGAAGATATACCAAAAACAATAAACATAAAAAGTAGTAGTTTATTCTTGAAACTAAAATTTGCAACATTGTTTTGTCTTTTGGTTGAAATGAAAATCGCAACGAGAGAATGACTGTCGCAACGAGAGAAATGAAAATCGCAACGAGAGAATCGCAACGCGAAATGAAAATCGCAACGAGAGAATCGCAACGCGAAATGAAAATCGCAATGCGATTTTGGTTTCGCGTTGCGATTCTCTCGTTGCGATTTTCATTTCGCGTTGCGATTCTCTCGTTGCGATTTTCATTTTTCTCGTTGCAGATAGTCATTTTCACGTTGCGATTTTCATTTATCTCGTTGCGACTCTTCTGCAAATTGAAACTTGAATGGATTGCATTACTTCAACCAAAAGACAGAACAAAGACAAAGACAAATACTAACTTGAAAATCGCAACGAGAGAATAGCAACGCGAAATGAAAATCGCAACGAGAGAATCGTAACGCGAAATGAAATCTAAGTGAAATGGTTAATCTATTATTGAAATGACCAGTAAACTTATCATCAGTTTCAATATGAAAAACCTACAATAATGCAAAAATTTCAAAATAAAAATAATTAAAAAAACTAACCCTCGGAGGTTGATTTTCCATTTCTGAATATTGTGAGGGATTTCTGACCGTGAATGGTTGTGAGGGATTTCGCCGGAGATGGGGACGGAAATCTTCGGAGATGGGGACGGATTTCGCCGTAGAGAGTGAGAGATGGAGATGGGACTGAGTTGTGATTTTAGGTTTTAGGTTATGAGTTGCGATTACGGGATTTTGTCTTAATATTCGTTTTTGTAATTTGAAAATAAAATACGCGTAGCGATTATAATGGCGCTTTAAAAATCGCGTTGCGATTTACGGATACGCGTTGCGATATACGGATACACATTGCGATTTACGGATACGCGTTGCGATTTACGGATACACGTTGCGATTTACGGATACGCGTTGTGATTTATGTGTTCGCGTTGCGATTTTCATATTCGCGTTGCGATTCTGGAAAATCGCAATGCGAATTTGTACTATCGCATTGCGATTGTCAAGAATCGCGTTGCGATTTTGGAAACTGATTTGCGATTCTGGGGATCGCGTTGCGATTTTTATTTCGCGTTGCGATTTTGTTGGTCATTTTGGCAAATCCAAAAAAAGTTGGTTAAAATCGTATATTATAAGGCATTTTTGGTCACTGAGGCGATTTTCTCTTTCTTATTTAGTTGATATGGCTCAAGTTGTTTAATTGCAGCCATGATAGAATGAAGTTCATATTATTGTACAATGTTACAAATTATTCACGAGTAAACTTTAATGTTTTAATTTACTTATTAAACAACTTTTGATGTTTTTCAGTTTCAAAGCAACATACGTAAAAAAAAAAGTAGACCACTCAAAATTTTAGTTGGCAGATAAATTAAAATTATAAAAAGACTTAAAATTTATATATGTTTCAGAATTTGTTTTCATTGAGATATGGAAGATCATCTATGAAATTTGTGGTCTTTAAAATTTAAAAATTTTATTTTTTTTACTTAATTTTAGAGTTAATTATACGATTGATCACATGTGTTCGTGTTTGGTTCACTTTTCTTCACTGATTTAAAAAATATAATATTTATTTATTTAATTAAGACGTGGTCACTAATGATTAATTGTCGTCAACAATTTACAAATTAGGTAACGTGGTATTTTGGTATAATCACACATTTGATTCATAATATTTATATATTCTCTCAATTTAGTAATATTTTTAATAAATTAAAATAAATTTAATTATCCAATCAAATGATGTCATGTGTTATTTATTAAATATATTTTATTCTTATCTTAACGTCAAAATATTTAAAATAAAAATATATTTTTGAATTAAAATAAAAATAAAATAATTTTAAATTAAGTTAATAATAAAATATATTTAATAAGTTAATATAAAAAATATTTTTAAAGTTAATATATATAAAATATCATGAAAATGACGTGTTATTATTCGATTAGAGGAATAAATTTATTAAATGTAAGATTAAATTGAGAGAATATGTAAATAATAGAGATCAAATGCATAATTATACCAAAATATTTAACGACAGTTAACTCGTGATGACTACATCTTGATTAAATAAAAACAAAAGTGATTATATATTGTATTTTCTGAACAGAGTGAAGAAAAGTGGACAAAACATAAACATAAGTGATCAATCATGTAGTTGACCCTTAATTTTATTGTTGATTTTTTAAATTGATATATGGTTTAGTATAAAAAAAATCTCAAACTATACTACTTTTTTCAAAATAGTGCCTAAATTTTTTTCGGTGAATCCAAGTATCTAAAGTTATAAACGTTATCATTTTAGGTTCCTAGACCATAACAACCTTTAAAAAATTTTATTTATCCGACATGTGTCACATTTATAGAATTTTAAAGTTTTTATTTTAAATAAAAAACTTAAAAATTATATTTTTTTAAAAAACCAACATTATCTTAAATCTAAAAAAAAATCCAAAACATTAAAAACCTCAATTTTCATCCCTAAATCCACATCAACCACTGACCTTGCCACCATTATTATCGATCTAATCTCCATTTAATCACACTTCCACTGACAACCAGCCACCAGAAAAACAGTTGACGAACCCTACCTAACAAAGAACAAAGTTGTCTGACAAACCCTAAAATACGACACCTCACAACCTCATTGGTCATCTCGACGATAAGGATGACGACGTTCTATTAAGGAGATGTCAAGGACGGTGTCAACAGTGGTGGGCGTGATCGACAAGGGAGGTAAAATTAGAGTTAGAGATTTAAAACTTTAAAGGTTTGAATTTTTTTTTGTAATTTAAGAAAAATTATGATTTTTTTAATGTAATAATATTTTTTAATTTTTTTAAATAAAATTCTCAAAATCACTTTAATGCAACACACATCACTTAATGGACTTTTTTAACGATTGTTACAAACGAGACACCTGAAATAATAACATTCGTAACATTAGACACCGAAAAAAATTTATATGCTACTTTAAGAAAAACTATATAATTTAATTTAGACAACTTTTATATGTTAACCCTTGATTAAAAAAATGACTATAATTAACTTTCTAATTAGAATTGAATCGACATACTTAGACGATTTAAGAAATACAAATTAAATTATAGGGCCAAACTGTTTCATTTAATTTATACATAATTTTTATTTTTATTATAAAAAATAATTTTCTATATTTTAAACAGTGAAAATAACGTACAATATTATATAAGATTAAGTAGCTTTTATTTATTTGAAAATTTAGTTCTTTAAAAAATATTTACACTAGGCGAAAATTTATCAAATAAATATAAAAAATAAAATAAATCTATTTAGTTAAAATAAAATAAAAACAAGTATGAATAACCGAGGGCCAAATAGACTCAAATAAACCCCAAATTAAAACGAACTATTAAAAAACCCATAAGAAATTACATTTTTCCATAATTTTTTATATGCAACTTTCATAACATTTTAAACATCGCGCATATTGATGATTTTACGGTCAATTTGCTTCGAAATGGAAACAATCAAGCAGAACGGAGTTGTAGTTAAGTTCATTTCCTAATTATTTGCAAATAACATAACAAGTACCAATCTGAAACATAGGGCAATTAACGACACTACTACATCAAATACATCTACTTCAAACTAAACATTTTAAATGTTCATAAGGCCCCATTCCTCCATTCCAAAATATTCAACCACCACTCGATTTTTACACGGCAGCAGCACCGTGCTTTGCCTTTGAGTGAGATTGTAAAGCATTCTCAGAGCCAAATGTCCTACTCCAAGTTTTTAAAACAAATATATGATCAATAAGTTAATTGCGTTGGGATTAAATAGTTACAAAGAAGAAAGAACTGACCTGCCACAGGACTTGCAAGGGAATGAACCACCAGACTTTGGAGTCTGCTTCGCCTGAGCAGTAGCAGCTGAAGCTTTTTTAGCTTGCTTCGAGGGGTGAGGTGTTGCAGTATGTCCACCTGCTTTCTTGCCATCTGCACAGACAACTTGAAACTCTTTTAATGTAATAATAATAATAGTGTTTGAAGAGAGGTAAGGAATGAATTGTACAACTGATAGTACGACCAGTCATTAGCAAGTTCGAAATCAACGTCTATAGAAAAGCGGAGATGGTGGTAAATCTACCTGTCTTCTGAGGTGTCTCAAGCTTCACCTTCTTTTCAGGAACAGGGGACTTCCTAGCCGACTCTGCAGACCTCTTCTTGCTTGGTCCAGCCTAGGCCAAACCATTCAGCGGTGGTTAGAAAGACGAAGGAAAAGCTTCAGTGCTGAAGCTCCTTGATGTCCTTAAAGCATGTACGCTTACCTTCTCAGGTGTCTCTTGATCCTCATCAGAACTTTCTTCTCCACTATCATCCTCATTACTGCTGGTATCAACATCATTTTCCTTCTCACCATTAATTGGCATGGTAGGATCCTAAAACAATAGTTCAGAATCGCAGTCACCATATTCTAGCCCAGTTATGAAAAAAACAATAAAAACAACTGCATCAAAATAAACCCCCACTAGGACCAAGCAAGAGAAAGTGGAGACTCAATTTCGTGATATTCCAAAAGGATAGTTGCATTAAGATGCATTTGAAACTACTTTCTTAATGAACCAAATGCTATTAACAGTTTAACACCCTATTTCAACTATTTCAGCTTTATGATTTACACAGAAAACCAAAAAGAGGTTATTCGCCGGGTGTGATACTAATGGTTAGACATCTACCTGATCCTCACTGGACTCTTCATCCTCAGCAGAAGTATCATCTTCACCCTCATCATCGCTGCTAACTTCATCTTTTTTTGGTTCCACAATCTTGACCAGACGTGATGCAGAAGGATCAGATGTTGTAGCATGAGGCTTTGTGAGATTAATTGTAGGTTGTGGGAGCTCCTCTTCAGACTCGGTATCTGTAAAGTAAAAGTCAAAACATAGTTTTCAAATTAATTAGTATTAAGAAATATCAAATTAACAGAAACTACTAGCAGAATGACTCACCACCACCTTGAGTTGAATCGACATAATACCCAGTGATAAAGATACTACCATTCTTCCAGTTATGAGACAGTTCAAATTTGTCATGCAGCACCAAATCCAATGGTATCTGGGGGAATTTCTCTTGGGAAAGTGTTCCAATCACAAACTTCTCATTTTTGAATTTGAGGTAGATACAAATGTTTTCGTCTACTTTCTCTTTCTTTTTATCACCAGTCACCTCACCAAGAGCAACCTGGGAGTTATATAGCGGCAATTTTAATAGAGAGATGAAATTGTCAACAGTCGAAATAAGTTTGGAAATCATAGTTCCTCGCTAATAACCTGTGACAGATGCAGAATCCTACTTCCATCATTCTCCAATTCGACCTTAAAATTTTGTCCGCTCTTAACCTCAACACCTACACATATGCCAAATGAACTATAAATGGACAATCGTGTGTGTTTGGCGTGTGGGGGGAAAAGGGGGGGGGGTTCATAATTCAATGTACCCAGAAATATTGAACGATGCCATAACAAGTGAAAGCAAACCAATAAGAAATCCCAAATATGCATTTTAGAAAATCAACTACAACATATTCTAAAAGGTTACCACAAGGAAGTCCAAATCAAAGTAAACAATCCCTTACTATTACTACAATTAAATAACTATTCAACAAGAATATCAAGCACAGTTCACAGTACACTCCCCCCTCCCAATATGCATTAACGTTTCATCAGAATTAAAATATTTTTTTTCTATTTATAGACGTGAAATCAAACCTACGAAACAGTTGAAGCAACAAAACAAATTAAAATACAGAACCAAATGCATTTTATTGTGCTAGAAATTCTACGCAATCTTATTATCAGAAATAACCCATAAAATTAATCAAAATGACTATATTTATCTGGGGGGAAAAGGAAGCAACAATCTTCCTAGAAAGTTAAATCAAAAGTGGGGAAATAAAGAAACGAGAACAAAAAATTTCAAAGCAAAATAAATAGTAAAAAAGGGAAAATCAGGAAACAAACCAATAGAATGAACATGCATGATGATCATTAATTTCAGCCAATTTCGTAACTAAAAGAAGAATGAAGAAAAACTAACTGATCGACTGAAGGAGAGAGAAGAAAATTACCCCAAAACTCCATTGCGCGAGTGTGTGTGAGAGAGGTTAGGGTTTTACCGATGTTTTTTAGATGAAATTTCCGAAGTTGTACGCAGCAGTTTAACTTTTAAGAGTGAGGACGGGGCTTGGCTGTGATTCTGTGTGGCGCGGAACACTGTAAGAGATTGTAGGCGTCCTTAAGAAGTTTGGGCTTTTCAATTAAAAACAACAGAGTTTTGGGCTTTTCGATTTATTTGGGTCAATTTAATATAAAAAATTAAAGGTTAAAATTATTAAATTAAAAGTCTCATGTTCGAGTTCTTGTGTATGTAAAAAAATTTCACTGAAGGACTCATCCACCAAAGTTAAGTGTGCTATCCGGATCGATCCAAATTAATTAGGGCGAAGTCTTAAAACTGGAGAATAACCAAAAAAATTTAAAATATAAAAGGTGACATTTTATTTTACACAACATTTATATATTATTCGGACCTTAAATTCTTAAACAAAAAATCTAAAACGAATTTGTCTATAACAAGTATATTAATCGAACCGAAGTTATATAAGCAAAGTGAAAGTCTATTACATATGATTGGAGCCCGAATATATAAGATATTAATTCTATATATCATATATCACATAATTTTAGGTAGTGTATCGTTTATATTATTGAATTTTTAATTTCTCTAATTATAGTACCAAATATTTATGATATTATGATGATATAGACAAAACAACATCATTTTTGTGACAACTATTGATGTCTAAAATGACGACATTTAAGCATTAAACTTTAGTGTATATCGATTTTGTCAATAAATTTTTAAATAGTTCACCTTTTGTCATTGTGCTTTTCTGATAATTACCGACAACTACTCATTGTCTGTCACTGATCATCTTTCGGGATAAGATATATGCCAAAATGATTGTATTTTATACCTCTTTCTTCTCCTATGATTAGTTTTCAAAAAATTAATTCAAAATTTTTTAGGGTTTATAAGTTGACCTTAAAATTTTTAAAATTTTGCAATTTTACCTCCAAACTTTTAGCTTACTCAGTTTGGTACTCGATTTACTAGAATTAACATATAATCTTCTTAATTTCAAAATTTTCAAAAATATCCTCAAACTTTCTAAAACTTCCAATCTAGCCCTTTAAACTCTAATTTTCACTACAAGAAAATATACCTTTAATGGCACACGAACGATGACACACGCTAATTTATGACTTGCAAAACATGGGTATCATAAAAAAATGTCATGTTTTTTTAAAATCTAAACGATTTATGACTTACAATAATGTGTGTCATATTTAATAGTCATAATCCAAAAAATTTGCAAAAACACGGAGTACAGTTTTAATTGTGTGTCATCTGTAAAAGTTGTCTTTTAATTCCCCCCTTATTTTCATCCTTTCCCGCTTCTTCCCCGACATACATGTGTGTCCAAATCTCTCATCTCAAAAAATAAAAAATCTCCCAAGAAAAAACAGATGTTCATCGAATCTCTTATGAATCATTTGTTTTCTCAATCGCGGAGGAGGCCGGCGGAGGTTCATCGTCGGATAGAGGAGGAGGAGGAGAGATCAGAAGAGCAGTAGGACCAGGCTCGATGGATTCGTTGGAATCTCGTTGGGTATTCCCAAGCGAAGACGAATCTGAGATCGAGGACGAGGAAGATAATACAGATGTGTCATATGGAGCTGGAGTAGATTCCAAAGACGAGGATAGTCTTGTATAGCGTTTGATTCGTACCAAACCGCGCGTTAATTCTTTCGACGTTGAAGCTCTCGAAGTACATGGCGCGCATAGAAGTGACTACGAGGTATATTGTTCTTGTTTGATGATGCTAATGCAATAAATCAATCATCTATTTGTAATCTTGAAAAATCGAATTTGGTTGGAATCTAACTTTATCGTGTTGAGGCATACCTTTTTTTAATGTGCTTTAATTTTGCAGCTTACTTTTATGTGTGTACTTGACTTTTGATCTCAGGACTTTGGTATAGGAAGGATAATAATACATGAGTTTCAGACTCTTTGTGTTGTATTTGGTGATGTTGGAACAAGTCCTTTATATACGTTTAGTGTGATATTTATCAAGGCACCTATTAATGGAGATGAAGATGTTATTGGAGAACTATCACTGGTTCTATACACTCTACTCGTGATTCCGCTTGTCAAATATGTCCTTATTGTTCTTTGGGTTAATAATGACGGTGAAGGTATGCCAGATGTTCCTCAATCCCAATCAAGTCATTGTTTATGATCTTTTATGCAGGCCTTAAACAAATATGTTAAATATTAATTCCATGTCAACTGTTTGACATCTTTTGTTGCTGTATTTTATGATATTTCATTCTTTTATGTAAGCCTTAAACAAATATGTTAAGTATATATTCCTTGTCAACTGTTTTACATCATTTGTTGCTGTTTTTTTCTTGAAGGTGGTACTTTTGCATTTGTACTAATTGATTTCTCGGCATGCTAAGGTTAGTTTTCTCCCAAATCTGGTTCGATCAGATACCCGAATATCTGGTTTGAATGCTAAAGGTGTCGTTTCCTGAGCTCGAGAGATCACTTAAAATAAAGGAGAGACTAGAGACTCCATTGACTCTAAACAAACTTCTTCTGGTCTTAGTGCTTGTTGGCACTTCTATTGTAATAGCTGATGGGGTTGTTACCCCAGCAATGTCAGGTTTTTATGTGTTACCGTTCTTTCATCTCTTTTGTTTACAGAATCATGCTATGGTAGAATACAACATAACGGTTTTATTAAATATTTTTTCATTTTTAATTTTTAGATGATAACTTTTGCATTTTTATTTGTAGTTATGTCTTCTGTTGGTGGTCTGAAGGTTGGAGTTGGTGCAATTGAACAAAGTAAGCTGTTATTCCATGTTGTTATCAATTCTATAAAACATTATTGCTTTGCTGACTCACATTTCACTGTTTGTTAGTAAATACTGTTAGAGAGGACATTCCTGTTTCTAATTGACCTTTTTGGCTAGGAATCTTTTACATAATTTAACTTGAATGTGTCTGCAGCTGCCTTTTTCGCGATCATGTGCTGTTTGTAATGATAGTTAAACTTTAGTCGGACTTGAGTTTCCAGTCTAGCTAAATGTTAAATCTGTATGTATTAGAAACAATATGGCATTTTTTCTTTTACCTTCCCTCCTTTACATCCTATGGTTTATGTTCCTTTATGATTTTCTATATTATTACAGGTAAATAGTCATTAACTATTATGTTTCCTTATTTTCTTTTCTTTATTTGCAGATGAAGTGTTGATGATATCGGTTACCTTTCTTGTAATTTTGTTCAGTGTACAGAAGTTTGGAACAATTCAAGTTAAGCATGATGCAAGTTTCTTGAGGGCATTTAATCCTGTTCACGTCTATTTATACTTCAAGAGAAACTCAGTTATGCGCTTGGAGGTTGTCTTGTATGTGCAACAGGTAAACACATTGATAAAAGATATCATGTGCTTCAAAACTTGCACTTCAGTTGCAAGTGTGGAGAGACCTAGTAAAAGAATATCTTGATGTTGTAATCTAATTTTTACACTAATTTCCGATTAAACTTTGTCAGGTAACCATCTTCTAGTAAAAGATCACTGAACTATTGACTTGATTTTAATTTTTACACTAATTTTTCTCTAGGGACTCGCAGCTTGCAAAATCTAATCATGTAACCATCTTATTCTTTTCTTTTATTATTTCATGTGAATTTAGTGTTTCACCCCTTTGGACTTAAGTTTAGATATGTATTGAATAATTTCCAGACTTACATACATATTGTTTGTTCAGGATGCAATGAGAAACATATTAATCGTATTTGCCAAGTTAAATCCGGGCATAAGATATGTTCAAGGAATGAATGAAATCTTGGCACCTCTATTTTATGTATTCAAGAATGACCCTGATGCGGAAATAGTGGTAAGATCTCATTATTGTCCCCCACCCAGTTCTTTTTAATTAAATCTCTAACATGCGATTGTTTTGATTTTCATGTATTGAATATGAAAGGAGGTTTCCATGATTTTCTTGTTTCTGTTTGCAACTCCATTGCATCAAATCCATCCATTTTCTTGCCCCAAGATACCCAAAAAGTTTAAACAAAAACAGTAACTTTCAAATAGATTACAACTTTTGAAAAACAGTACGATAATTGAAAAACAGTACGATAATGTTCATTTATCAATATTGTTATCAACTTGGTGATATATATATATATATATATATATATATATATATATATATATATATATATATATATATATATATATATATATATATATCATATGCACCAAATATGGAGTATCTATGCCAACATATAGCCATAGACCAATTACAATTTCAGTAAGAATAACATGAAGCCGACACATTCTTTTGTTTTGTTGAGTTATTGAGTGGATTTCGTGATCATTTCTGCCAGCAACTTGACAACAACAATGTGGGAATTCGTTCCCCAATTTCTAGGTTGTCACAGCTTCTGAAGGAACATGATGAAGAGCTTTGGCGTCATCTAGAGATCACAAATAAAGGAAGATATTGTTGCAAAATTTAAACATCTTTTATATCTTGACTCATGCTTGCCTTTTACCTGCAAAATTTTGAACACTTACACCTTTGTCGTTTTCCGCAGCTTGTCAAGGTAATTAGTTGGGCTTGAATGCTAACTGTTGTGTTTAAATATCACACAGGTCAACCCCCATTTTTACGCATTCAGGTGGATTACTTTGCTCTTGATACATGAATTCAACTTTGCGGACAGTCTCCACATATGGGACACGCTTCTTAGTGACCTTGAAGGCCCTCTGGTATGATTACAATTTTTATCTCACTCAATTATCTAGAACTTTTCTCTAAGATTAGGGGAGGAGATTAGGGATGACAACAGCATGGACCGGGTCAGATTTTTTATCGTCTTGGCCCAGACCCAAAAGTTAGGAGTTTTCACCCAACCCCAATATCATTAGATTTTAATCTAACTCATCACTTAACAACCCTAAAATTTTAAATAAAAGCCCAACCCTCCCTGTCCTAACCCCAAAAAAATTAATACAAACTTTAAATATGTTGTATAAAATTAATTATAAAAGAAAAAATATGTATTCTTTTTATTTTTTCAATCAAATAGTGGCGTTGAGCGATTCAAACGACAATTTGCACATTTGAAGGAACATTATGGTAAAGGTGAAAGAAGTACTCCACTTCTAATACATCATGCTTCTTTGCCTAGGTATGCTTCATAAAATTTTAGGAATCATGTTAGTTCCATATTTTCTCCCCTAAACTTAGTCTGTCTAGTTCATGTGTCATATTTCAATTTGCCTGAATATCGTCTTTACAGAGAGCGAGTTCCTGCTCCCAATGATGATAATGATCAAGTTGATGGTGAGAATAACACTGCTTCAATGACACAATATGGTCCAGAAAGCGCTAGTGCTTCAATGACACAATATGGTTCTGAAATACAAGTTGCAAAAGCACTGGAAGCTTGGATATGGTATCTGGCTACTGTTTGATCATTACCGCACTCTATTGGATCAGATATGCAGAAGGTATGAATTGAAACTTGGGAGAATTGTGTTGCACTTAGTAGTTTTCTAACTTATCAAAGTTCTGCAGAATCTTAACTAGTTAATAGACTTAATAGTATGCAATGAATCTTCCAAGTTGCGTTCTTTTTGCTAGGTAGACAAGGTGTGAATTTTTCAGTTGTCGGCTTCACACCACGTAAGATGTACAAGTATGAACCAAATGGTGAAACTGATGATATGTTGGAATACCATGCTACTTTTGATTTTTCACAAGACTCCCCTTTAGTAGAACTTGATGATGATTTCTTGTGTAAACGCCCGGATGGCGAGGGCATATTTGTATAACTTCATTATGCCGTGATATTTTGTATCGACATATGATTACAATGTTTTTTATAACTTAATGTGAATATATTGTATGCAAATGGATTGCTTATACATAATACAATATATATATTTAGTATTATGAGGCATTAAATGTGATTTAGTTTAATTATTTGTCAATCTAATATATATATATATATATAATTTACGAAATGTATGTCATACAAGCGTGTCATAAATTTATGACGCACAAATGTGTGTCATCTTAATTTATGACGGGGGCTTCAATGACACTCAATGAACGTCATTAATGAGCGTCATAAATATGTGTCATAAATGCGCGTCATAGATTTATGACACACAGTTGCGCGTTATCTGAAATTCATGTCGGTGGCTTCAACAACAGGCAAATGTGTGTCATCCGCACCCATAGATGATGCGCAATGCTCGTCATTAAAGGGGTTTTTTCTACTAGTGTTTATTCAAATTAACCCTACAATTTAACTTTTAAGAAAATTGAAGACTTAATTCAAATTTTAACCTAATATTTGGCGTGTGACATTACAAGAATATATTTATACTATAAAATATAAAAGAATACAATAATATATTTATAATGGGTCTCAATTATAGATATGAATTTTATAATGATGCATTAAGAGTTTTGGGTATACCAAATTATAAGATATATGGGATTTTATACATTTGTACTCTTTTTTTATATTTACGTCTATAATGAATTTTTCTCTTATTCTTGGAGGTAGGCAGAGTTAGACCACATTAAATTTCATCTCTTGTGTATATCTTATTCTATTTTGATCTCATTTTATTACCTCTATGCTTATAAATTTATGACAGGTAGTATTATAATTATAATTCGAGTTGTAAGATTTTAAAGCAACTTTTTTGCTACAAACTTTGTATTTTCTTCAAATTAATTACATTTGGACCCCAATTACACCAAAACTTGTAGAAACATAATTGTTATCCTTTAATTCATGTATATTCTTTAAAAATTGAATTTTATCTTATTTTATCAAATTGTCCTAATAAGCTTTGAAACTCTTTCAATTTAGTTCTTACCCTCCCATTTGACACTTTCTTGATAAGGGGGTCAACTTTAATTCTCTTAATCCTTTATCACTCATATTTTATCAACATTTATCTTAATATTCGATATTAAAATGTTAAAACTAAACTAAATATGATATTAAAAATTTAAAGGTATTACACCTACCTCTACTATAAACGTAGAGACCACGTACAGTAAAAATATATGGAATTATTTGCATCCAAAAACCCATTATACATACCTTAAAAACCTCATATATATCAAAACACTCTTCCATCATCCAAACAAAACTTATCTCTACAACATAGTCTCCAATAAATTGTAGAGGTCACAAAATATATTACATCTCTCTAAAATAATTTTCTATCATGATTATAAAGGTTAAAAACATAGTTTATATTAGGCTTAATTATAAAATAAGTGCCCAAACTATAGTACTTTTCACTAATAGGCGCCTAAACTATTTTTTGAATGGTCTCGATGCCTAACGCTACAAACATTACCACTTTAGGTATCCGCCCCATCAATGACGTTAATTCCTCCGTTATGTAACACATACCATAATCTAGTAATTTTAAAATTTTGTTTAAAATTTAAAATTATATTTAAAAAACAAAAAAATTTGAAATAACCTCAAAACTTTAAAAACCTTCATTTCAATCTCTAAACGCACATCGTCCACCTCCCTTTACCATCAACGAAGCTCCACCCGACCTCACCTCCCATCGGCTACCAAAATCCCAATGAAATCACGACTGTTCGACGATGAATCGACGTTTTATACCTAGGAACCCTATGATGAAAATCGCGATCCCACACGATTCTGACGGTCAAACGGCGACAACTATTATAACACCTCCAATTCTAAACTAGTAGTTTTGGATTTACTTGAGAGGTATGTAGGCCCCAAGGATTTCATGATTAAAGTCCTTGGGCCAAGTTGGACTTAATTGGTTGGAATTGGGCCTATTTAGCATAAAAGGGGATTTTTTAACAGAAGAAATATGGGGAATGGCGAAATGTGAAATTATCCCATTTTTAAAATATGAGAGTTGTTATCTCTTTTCATCTTCTTATTCTCTTCATTTCTTTATTCCTTCTCATTTTACTCTCATTCTTCCTCTCCAAGTGTCATAGCTAAAGTTGAGCCCTTTGAGCTTTATATTTTGTCCTCTAATCCCTCCAGAAACATCCTTTATGTTTAGAATATCATAACTTTCCTTTTTGACTAGAGAAAGGGGATAGCAATCATCTTAGTTCAAAAAGAGTGGGAGGAAGTAAAGCATGTTAAGAAAAGAGCTTCATTTCGGGTTTCTAACATCAAGGTAGTGTATTTATAATCCTTTGCCGTGTTAAA